GTGTGTGTGTGTGCGCGTACGTGCGCGCGCACACACACACACGCGCATGTGTCGACGTCCATCCCTCATCGCACGAAACAAATTGCGAAAACGAGAGACGCGTGCGGAAAATATATATATTTCTAGTCGCCGAATTGATTTCGCTCCTCGTGCGACAGATAAGAGAGAGAGAGAGAGAGAGAGAGAGAGAGAGAGAGAGAGAGAGAGAGAGAGAGAGAGAGAGAGAGAGAGAGAGAGAGAGAGAGAGAGCGCCGCTCGGAGATTGGTACAGCTTACAGTTACAGAACTGAGAGATGAGAGAAAGAGCGAGCGAGCGAGAGAGATACACATGCATGCACACACGTATGCGTTTTTAAAAAGAAAAACAAGGTGTACCATTGTTCTACTTACCACAGGCTGAGATATTTTTGCACACAGGAACCTGACAAACACGTTGTAGATTTCGTAGAACACGCCGCAGTAACCGACCTCAGTAAGCAACTGAAATAAAAGAACGCTCAAGTATAAACACACGCGTCACAACGCAATCGCTTGGAAAATAATAAAACTCTGACAAAGTGTATTTATTTAAAGCAATTTTGAAATTAACAAAATTGCACTGCCAGGATAAGACGAGTGGGTGATACATTAAAAGAAACATTTAAGCGACTAACTTACCTTATGCTCAAGGTAACCAGCAAAGTCGATACTGGCATTTACAAGTCCATTGCCAAAGGATTCAGCAGCCTGAAAAACACGACGCAAGATATATATATATAGTTATCGTGGTCAATCACAACATTTGCCGAAATGAGATCTTCACTTTTGATTCGTAACACTTCAAAGCTTGATTTTGCAATTACTGCCAGTACCTCAGTGACATCAGTGACAGCTGATACTTGGACGTAGGTTTCCATTGTGGTCAGCTCGTTAGAAATGCTCAGCATAGCATTCTGCCAAAAAAAAACACGACATCATTCTTATATATGTTAACTACCCCATATTTCAACTTAGTAGTTATTCTTTAGTTGTATACTCCAAAATGATATACGAGATATTTACACTGAAGTAAACAACAATATCGTTAATCCTGCACAAACTGTTTCGCAGTACCGATAAATAATCGCGGAATGAGCGTACGCAAGATTGCTAATGGTCACGCTGAATGTTTTCGCGTCAATGACAGAACATTTTTGCAGAAATAGAAGGGTCTTACCTCAATAGTTGTGATGGCTGTATCCATTGTTCCAATATTTGCTGTCATGGTGATCTGTAATGTAAGAAACAACATACTATATGAACTATCACAGTTCAGTGCCACACAACTGAACTAGTGAATCACATAGTGCACTAAACTCTAATATTATTAAAATTTAATGATATTAGAGTTCAGTGGAAAATACGGCATGGTACTGACGAAACGAACCAAGAAACGGAGGAATCCGGAAAAAAATACATAAATAAAATAAAATCAGGAAATCAGGAATTCCGGATAAATCCGGAAGAATCTCATCCCTGTTAAATACAGTGTAAACACTGCCAACTGTAGATTGCGGTACTGCCGTCGCTACCATCCACTAATTTCACGTTCCCTTAGTCTCTCGCAAGAAATCAAAGGTTCGCCTTATTCCTGAGGATTCCTGGAGTATGTCAGACTAGTTGATAAATATTTCTAATAAAGTAAAACGATAAATCACTATGCAATCAAGCGAATACACAGGCATAACAAAGAAAAACACATTATTACCGTCGCAGCAATTGTAGGGTCCACGTAGGTTGTAATCAAGAGCCTTATTGCGGTTGCGATGTTGTTGTATCCGGTACTGTACGTCTGGAAAAACCCAAACAAATAAAATTGAAAATAATATACCTAGCATATCATTTTCGCTTCTAGCAGCGCTGCAACATTAAGTGCAACTACTACAGAACCACGAGTCGAGATGCACGCTCGTCGAATTCCACGAAGCACGAATCGTTAGATGTACAGCTCTTCCTCAGTTTTCCCTTCCTCTTTTCTCTTCCTTAGATTTCCCACCCTCTTTTCTCATCCTCGGGGTTCCCTCCCTCTTTTATCATCCTCGGGGTTCCCTCCCTCTTTTATCATCCTCGGGGTTCCCTTCCTCTCCTCTCTCCCTCATATTTCCCTCCCTCTCCTCTCTCCCTCATATTTCCCTCCCTCTCCTCTCTCCCTTACATTTTCCTCCCTCTCTTCTCATCCTCGGGGTTCCCTCCCTCTCCTCTCTCTCTCATATTTCCCTCCCTCTCTTCTCTTCCTCATATTTCCCTCCCTCTCCTCTCTCCCTCATATTTCCCTCCCTCTCTTCTCTTCCTCATATTTCCCTCCCTCTCCTCTCTCCCTCATATTTCCCTCCCTCTCCTCTCTCCCTCATATTTCCCTCCCTCTCCTCTCTCCCTCATATTTCCCTCCCTCTCC